GAGTGCGATCTCGCAATGATCTGTGAAGCATGCGCCTGCGAACTTTTGCACTTGGAGAACCGGAGCTGCTCGAGCAGGGAGAGCAAAGACCAAAAGGGATCCATGGCGGACCGTAGGCGCGTTCGGAGGTTCACAGGGGTTCTGTGGGGTGTCCCTGTCCACAGGAGTGCCCCTACGAATTAGGCATCTTTGCTCGAGGAGGTGGGTTGTTTTTTCGCCTTGAGGCCTCGGCGGGTATGTTGGACTTCGAGCCTGTGAATGACAAAGAACTCCACCCGGGAAGGTAAGCCAGGACGCCGAAAGTTGATGTCCGGAGATGGAAACACGATTCCATGCTCTCGAAACATGACAATGCGAAACGGTTTCATTGCATCTCATGATGACAACTTATTCGTGAGTCCGTCCGTCCGACCGACTCGTCCGACCTGTCCGTCCGACCCGTCTATTCAGTTTAGTTATTCGTCCGTCCGATGTCCTAGCATCCGTCCCTCCTTTCATCCCTCCGTACTTTCAAGTGTCCATCTTTCCGTCCGTCCGGCGGACCGCAATTAAGGTCACCTTCGCCGTTTTGCTGACTTTTGTTGAGCTTCGTGGCCAAAATTTGCTGGATGCGGCGTCAGCAGACGAGAGTCTGGGAAAGGTTTCAGTCAGCCTCGCAGACGCTTGGCTTTTGTCAGACATGTCCAAGCTAAGTTCCTATTTCACGCGGTTTTGGAGAAAGCATGTCATGTCACTTATCGGCATCGGAGCGATGCCGGCCCTGAGGAATTCGAAGTGTTAAAGTGTTTTCCGCGCTATCTATGGTCTTACTGTAGCTGTCCTTCGTAAACTTGCAATTCCAGCATTCCAGACTAAAGAAACCTTATCCCGCATTCTGGAAGCCATGATTGGACTTTTCCAGGAAAAAGCTGCGACCACAAGCGAGCCAACTGGATATGCGGCAGAGCAGCTGGGCGTCGTGCCGGAGCCTGTCGCTTTTTCGACTTCTAGTCAGGAGCCCGCCAGAAGTCTAAGAGCCTAAAAGTCTAAGACCAAGCTTCTTGGAACGTCACTGCATGTTCTTGCGCAAGCCACGTTCTCTTGCATCAAGTTCTCTGTGCTCGGTGAGTGTTTGCGTGTTTTGTTGTTAGCATGCCCTACGCACCCCACTTAGCATTGCGATCGCAAAGTTCCAGGACGGATCCAAAGATGAAGCAGGCAAGTGCCTTCCGAATCCTTCCGAAACCTCCCTCAACTGCTTATGTACGGTTCAGCATGTTCAGCTTCTGCAGGAGCATGTCCATAGAAGAGATTTGCACCTTCACAATCCTTGATGTACTTTCTTGAAGCTTGCCGGTAGAGCAGCCCGGGAATCTCTCAAATGTGATCTGCAAGCCTTCAGCTGGGAGAACAATCGAGCAAACTACATCGTACACCCGCCCTAAGAGTTGGAAGAAGGTACTGGAGGAGGGAAGATGCTGATTCTGGGCGCCTTGGCTTCCCGAGCAATGCTCTCTCTCATGATTTTCTTTCTGTCTCGGTCGCTTTCTCTCTCTCATTCTTTCGTTGCTTTTTTCTTTTGCTCTCTCTTTTTGTTCCTTTCTTTCATCCACTTTCACCCTTTCCCTATCCCCTTCCCTGGCCCTACCCGAACCCTTTGGTAAGAGAGGAGAGGGCGGAAGGAAGTTGGGAGGGAGCGGGGCTTGGAACCCTACACTCCTAAGCCTTACATGACTGAGGTAAAAATGAAGTCAATCTTCTAGATCCTTCCAACTGCCGAAAGCTTCAATTGACCCTTATTCTGGAAACGTTACTAATGCCGGCAGCTCTCCAGCAGCAGAAGGAGCAGTGGCTTCAGGAGAAGAAGCTGAAGCTTCTGCAAATGAACATCCACCTGCATGCGCCACGGGATGCATCGCGGTGTAGGATCCTAACACAGCGCGTGATCCAGCTCGCCGTCAAGGCGGCAGGAAGTTGCAGACTACTACTTCTTGAGTGCTCGGTCTAGCGCGCCGGGGATTTTCGCAGAGGGCCTCGGGATCTCCGGCCGTTGGGGTCAGCCGTTACATTCAGCACATCTGATGGTCCGCATCTTCCTGTTTGCTGACCTGAATCCAGCGATGCGGTGAGCATATGGCAAATCAAAAAGGAGGTCGCAAAGACACACGGTGCAGCATGGGCAAAGACATTTCCTCTGGCGTAAGCAAGAAGCAAAAGTGCCGCCAAGGCCAAAAGTGAGCCAAAGGTGAAACCCAAGTGTAGCATAAAGTATGGAGTAGGTACGTTTTCTCACCCTCACAAAGAAGGATGCATAGAACCATAGTGAGGAGCCTTTAAACCCCAACAACACACAGAACCATAGTGAGCCGCGCAGACGTATCCGTGAAGATCTTGAATGGTCAGACCCGGCAAGTCTTGAACCCGCGTGCAGACCTGCTTAAAGCAGATGGGTTTGTGACTGCTTTCAACTAACAGTTCCTGCGCGCAGCATCGGTTGAAACTCGAGACAACGAGAGCCAGCACTTTCAGCATCTGGATCTGCGTGGGTATCGTGATGCCTGGGGTTGAAGTCAGGCGTGTTTGGCCGGGTACACCAGAGGTTATCTCCTTTTAAACCATAACGATCCTTAGTTTAAGTTCTAGAGCAGCAACCCATGTAATTTCTCGCAGAGCGCCCAGCAAGTAACTCCTCCTGCCGTGATCTGTATGTCTGCATCTGTGGAGATAGGGCTGAGATCAGGTGCCGCTTTAGGAGGAGCGCTCGTGCAACTGGGCTGCACAATGGAGCTTTGCATAGTTTGGCTTTGTCTAATTTTAATGCATCGTGGCCCGCCTCGGCCGGGGCCAGCAGGGCAAGCAAGGGATGAGGTACGAGGCGGCCATGTGAGGGGGATGGGTGTCGGGTAGGAAGGGTGGCCCCCTTATGGTCGGCCCAAGCCCGACGGGTACACACTCCGGACAAGAAGTCGGCAAAAGGCCGGGGCGAATGAGGTGGGATCAGACAATGTGGGTACCTGTTTTACGCTCTCCCAGGCCCCTACAACGGCCTGAGGCCCCGAGACGGATTTTTCTTTGGTGTGTGTGTGTGTGTGTGTGTGTGCATGCTGTTGGTATCGCTTCATGGCCGCTTTCTGGAAGGCTTGGTGTGCTCGGCGCCTCGAGGGCCTTGAGCATACTCATCGCTCGGAAAGGGGGCAGATGGCGATCACCCGCAGGCACTCAGAATGTTCATTGACGCCGGTGTTCCAGGTCCAGAGCTTCATTCAATCTCAGCGGTTTGGGTTGGACATGGCTGGACAGGTGGGAATGGTGATGGGGATCGAGCGCCCGGAACTCCGATGGATGTGGATCCGGCTCCTCGGCTCAAGCTCGTGGGCAGCTTGGGCACTCGATTCTCCATGTTTTGTCTGTTTTGTCAGGCTCAGCTGCCTCCCACTGTTAGCCTTGGAAGCGCTGCTGTGCCATGGCATCGATTTGATGTTGCCTTCTGAGTTTTCCTCAAAAAACCGATGGTATGCGGGCCCACCCTGAAGGGTTATTGTCGGGGAGTCCTTTGCATCTGTAGGGGTGCTGCTGCGAATCCTGGAAAATCGATAGGGGGGCCACCAAGCATGTCACGCAACTTTCAACGAACACCGAGTTCAGTCAAATGAAGTGGAGACCTAAGATGTCCTTACACCATGACATGTCATGACCATGTTGCTGTAGACTCTTAAGACCGAATCTGTCAGTCAGTAAGGGTCTGAGGCATGAATGCCGACCAGAAGCAAACATTGGAAGGTCCAAGAGAGACTCAAATAAAGCGTAGCTAAAGTCTTCTCTCGCCGCGATAGATGGCAGCAGAGACGAGCAGGTTTGAGGACGATCACCCGTGCAGCCTAGGTACCACCTACCATCAGCATCGGAAGTACAAGTGATCCTTGCCTGAATTGGTGTGGCAACGTTTCTATACCTTACCTTGATTCATTTTTTGGTCGCACTTGTCAGCACTGGCCACAGAAAGGCTTCGGTGGCAGGCCAGACTGCTAATTTGAGATGCAAGTAGATCCGATCACTGACACAGTCGGGCCTGAGTTGATAGCGATTGAATGGCATTGGCACGTGCGAGATCATCCGACGAGGTCGTTGTGGTCGGACATCCGGTGCGCGATCCGACCACCTGAAGCTTGTCCACTTGGCCCAGGAAAGGGCCCAGTGTGCACACGCTTGTCAGATGGGATGCATCAGAGATGTGCCTCAAATGTTTGTCCCAGCTTCACGCAGATGTGTAATCCGAAATTTCTTTCACAAGGCTTGTAAATGCGGTAAACAGTTTTCTTGTACAGCCTTGGAGCTGTCTGCGCAGGTTGCAAAGAGTCATGGCCAAAACAGAATCATGCAACAGCATACGCGAAGACATAAGTGATGTAAACATCACAAAATGTAATGCGTTTGAGCACTGCTCTGACGGTTCCGTGTTTTTCGAACGTGTTTTTATTGTTTCTTTGCGCTTGCCGCTGCTCCAACTCAATCTTGATTTTGTGCTGTCGCTTGTGAAGACGTCCGCTACGGACATTGACGGCAAGCCAAGCGCGCACGGTACCAGCAGACAAGGCCTGCTGATTATTTCGAGACTTGCACAGGAGTGCAGGTTAGAGTATGAAGCACAGTGAGCTTTCCAGTGGGCCAACGCTGCCACTCAGAGCGTGAACCAGTGAAACATGATTGAAAGCCTTCTTCTCCACAACTGAGGCTTTATTTTGCGTCCTTACTGGGACACTCTAAAACATAGTTGGAGGTAGACCATCCTAAGTGTTGACAGTAGTATAGATCGGTTGGGGCCAAGCAGCGGGCATCATGGTGTTGCCACGGTGGATTCCATGGGAAGCCGCTAGAGAGGCATTGTTCCTCGGTATTTTGAAGAATAGCTTTTTGTTGTGTAGCACCATTTATGTGCGTTAGGACAAGCAGGCGACGAACGACGCAGCCGTTCGTCGCAAGCCGCCCATTTTCAGCTGCCTTTGTGTGTAGACTTCGTCGCCATGTCTTCGCGCAACGTCGACATCGCCGTCCTCGCCGAGATCCTGGAGGAGGTCCTCCGCGACGACTCCTCGGCGTTGGACTTGGTGTCGGCGCTGCCGCTGCCTTGTCGCGAGCGCATCGTCGCGGCGCACGCGACCCTCGTCTTCCAGACGAGGTCCAGGCCCCTCCCGCCGCACCTCGTCGCTGCCTACCTGCGCGACTTGGGAGGGGCCGAGGCGGCGGCAGTGACCCAGCAGCTGGCGGCGGCGAACAGCTCATCTTCCTCTTCGACGTCGGCGACGGCTAAGGCGGCTTCGGCGATGGCGCCCTCCTCCTTCCCCGCCAAGGCGCCGCCGCCACCATTGCCGACCTCTCCCACGCCCGCCTCGGCGGCGACCATTCCGACGACGGCGCCGGACCCGGTACCTTCCGTGGCTGGCGACGCCCCATCCGTCGTTGAGCCGGAACCTGAGGGCCCGGCGGATCTCCCGCCGGTTGGCCAGCCGGTCTCCTATGGCCCGCCATCGTCGTCGGCGGGCGGCAGGCCCTTCATCCCAGCGGCCATGGACGACGACTCCGAGGAGGTTGTCGCCCCCACCGTCGCCATGGTCGCGCAGATCTCCGACTCCGACGACGAGCCGCCGGCCGTGGTGCTCTCCGGCGACCTCCCGTCGACCCAGATCACCAACGTCGCGCCGGACGCCGTGGAGCCCGTCGTCGTCGCCGCGGAGCCGATCCCCGACGCCTCCAACGACACGATCACCATGGCGCCGTCGTCGGGCATGAGCACGGCGGTGGACCAGACGCCGGCCAAGGCGAAGCCGTCGCCATACAAGTCGCCGCCGTTGCCGCCACCCCCGGCGCCGGCCGCTTTCCCCAACGCGGCTGAGGCGGCCCTGGCGGCGGACTTCGGCTTCACATCGGCGGCGGAGTGGCTGCAGCATCGGCGCGTCGAGCTGGGCCAGGAAGGCTTCGCCGCGGTGCCCAGGACGGCACGCGCCGGCGACGCCTGCCCGCCGGCCACGACGCCGGCGCGCCTGGAGGAGATCCAGCGCCAGATTGACGCCGAGTTGGCGTCCGATCCCTCCATGGCCCCGCGGCCGAAGAAGGCGCCGCCGCAGCTGCCGTCGAAGTCGGCGCCCTCCGCCTTCCCCGCTGCCAAGGCGCCGCCGCCGCCGCTGCCGCCCCAAGACGCGGAGCTGGACAGGCTCCACGTCGCGGCGCTCCAGGAGACCCGGGACAACGCCCGGGCGGCGGCGAGACTGGAGGCCGCCGTCGCCGCCAACGGCGAGGAGTACGTCGCCTACAAGGCCAGGGTGGAGCGTCGCGGCGCCAGGGCGGAGCATCTTCCGGCGCCCTCGTCGGACCTGGCGCGGCTGCTGGTCTCGACGTACGGCGACCTCGTTCGGCGGGAGGAGGCCACCGCCGACGGCGCCGTCATGCCCAGGGCGGCGGAGGCGCCCTACTGGGTCCTCACGGCGTTGCCGACGGGCGTCTGGGCGCGAGCACTTCATCGTCGGTTGGTGCGCTCACCGGTGCTCCAATCCGGCGTGTCGTCTCGGCGATGAGCCCGCCGGTCGGTGCCTCCGCCCCATCGTGTTGGGGCGAGAGGACCGACATTCGCCGCATTTTTGCGCCGAGTGCCACCGCCCTCGGCACCAGAAGCATCGGCGCGAATTCGAAGCACGACGCCCCTGAGCGGCGCTGCCCCCCCCGCGAAGTCGGGGGGCCATCTTCCGTCGCCTGCCGCGCTACAGCTTTTCGGCGTGGCGGCGGCTGCGCTGATCGCGCATCTCTTCGGCGCATCCCTGGAAAAAAGGTGGGCTTCCTCTTGCTTCTGTTCGTCGCTGCACTCGCGTGCTGCCCCCCCCCCCCTCTCTGGAGTTGCCTTCACCCTCTTTCCTTGTTTCTCGGCTCAGTCCCTCGCGGGCAGCTTCCAGGACCTTTGGTTCGATCATGGCGCTCGCCGCTGACGTCGTCGCTGGATCCTTCGGCGAGCTGGCAGCCGCTGTGCAGGCGATCGGCCTGCAGCGCCATCTGCCGGCGATTGCGGGCTGCGGGGTCAGCCGCATAGGCGACCTCCATTCGGCGGCCAGTTCGCTCCTCGCTGCCGGCGTACCGGCGCAGGATATCGAGATCCTGGTGACGATCAGGCCGCCACGACAGCCGGCCCAGGCACCGGAGCCTTTGGCGGTGCCGGGCCGCCCGGATGTGCCGGTCCGTCGCCGTGAGGCCTCGGCGTCACTCGCAGCGGCACTGGAGGCGGCGGTGCCGGCGAACAGGAAGAGGGCCCTCGACGCCCTCGACGCCGGCGTTCTGGCGAGCTCCTCCAGGCGGCCGGTGGAGTCCAGGTTGAGGACGTGGCGTCGCCTCGCCAGGGAGCCGTGGCCCATCGACGTGGAGCTGGTCCGCTGCCTGGCGGCCTCCTTCAAAGCCGGCGCATACAGATCAGCGCAGAACTACTTCGACGCCGCTGTGTGGTTTCAGGAGGCTTACCTCCACACGCCGGTATCGCCGCTCGTCAAGAAGGCGATCCGGCGCTATGTCAGGTCGGCCACTAGAGGCCTGCCCGGCGCCAACCTGAAAGACGCCTTCCCGTTCGACGCGGTGGCGCTGCGGTGGCGCACCTCGACCTCGACGCCTTCCGCTTCGAGGCCCCCGCTCATTTCGTCGACGTCCTCATCGTCGCCACCTGGTTCATGCTGCGTGAGATAGAGATAGCGGCGGCGAGGTTGTCCGACATCCACCTCTCCGACATGAGGTCTGCCTCGCCGTGCCGCTGCACAAGGTGGCCCAGGGGGGCGAGCGGGACCTCACGCGGCGATCACTTCGCTGCGTCTGTGAGGCCCGGGTCCACCAGCTGTGCCCCGTCCACGCGGCGGAGAGGCACTGCCGGCGGTTGAGAGGCGCGGGTCGCACTCACCCCGACGGCCCCCTCTTCCCTGGCCCCGACGGCGACGGCTTCTCCAAGAAGGAGTTCTTCCAGGCGGCGGCCGGCGTCCTCACCGCAGCGGGCGTCGATTGCTTCTTCGTCGACACGGCGGGTCGGAAGCGTCCCAGGTTTCAGGGGCATTTGGCCCGAGTCGCCGGTGCCACATTCCTGGCGGCGAGGGGTGTCCCGCTTCCGGTGATCCAGCTTCTGGGGCGCTGGTCGTCGTGGGCCATACTTCGGTACACCCAGTCGGCGCCGCTGTCCATGGCGCCGCTCGCGCCGAGGGCCGGGGCCACAACGGCGATCGCGGCGGCCTCTTCTCCGTCGCCCTGGACTTCTACGACGAACTCGTCCAGGAGCTCCACGAGTTCACCGTCGTGTCCCTCTGGTCATGAAGAAGTCCGACGCCGACGTGGTGTCCCAGCGGCTGCAGGTACAGCCAGTGCTGGCCTGTGGGTCCGACTTCGGTTGGATCTCCAGGCCAAGGCTGTGGTGGGCGACGATCGACTGGTCCGAGTTCACGACGCACCCCCTCTCCGGCGAGGCGCTCTGGCGCAAACTCCGCATCGGCGCCCACAGAGCGGCGGAGAACGACCTCCACGTCGGCTGCCTACGTTTCGACGACGCCGTCAGAGCGGGCCGGGTCCTCCTGCCGTGTGCCACGACACCGGCGGAAGACGAGAACGGCCGCCCGGCCCCGAAGTCCTGCAGGGGCAGGGTCGCCGACGACGTCCGGGACCGGTGGCTGCGCGATCGGCGCCAGTTCGCGCCCTGGCGCTACAGGCAGGAGGCGATGATGGCCGACGAAGCCGGGCGCCTAGTCGTCCCACCGCCGCTGGTCAAGGAGGCGCTCCACCACTTGCCCAAGGACTACACGGCGGGCCACGACGACAGGGTGCGCCACCGCCTCATCGGGAACGGATGGCGCTGGGGAGTCGCGTCCCGCCTCCTTTCCATCGTCGTCGTGGCGTCCATTGGCCGGACCGAGGCGCACAACCCACCGGCGGGGCCGCCTTCGTCGTCGACGCTGCAGTGGCTCCAGACCCTGCGCGGATCGGCCCTTTGGCCCATGGACCCCCCGCCGCGAGCCAAGCCGGCCGCCGTCGACGAGGCCATCTCGGAGGAGGACCACTGGAGGATGGCCACGGCGGCGAGGCATGCCCTGATGACGCCGGAGCCCGCCCTGGAATGGGTGCTCAAGGTGGCGAACATGTGGCGCCATGACCTACGGCGCATACGGCGGGGCGTGGTCCAGGAGCTCAAGTCCATGGTCGAGGACATGGAGGACACGACGGAGGAGTGGCTGGCGCGTCGTCCGTTCCCAGTCCGGTCGACGTACTCCACCCCGGACAGGGACAGACCGACGCAAGTTCCGCTTCTGCTCCACCTCCTGCGGGACGCCGGCTACCCCGACGTCAAGTCCCTCTCCGACGACCTCTCCGACGGTTTCGACATGCTCGGTGAGATCAAGCCCGGGCCCGGTTGGAAGGCCAGGGACGACGATAGGTACTCCAACCCGGCCACCATGCAGGAGCTCAGGTCGGCGAACCGGCGCTACCTACTCAAGAGGCTGCCTACGGCCAGGCCCGGCGCCCACGCCGACACCCTCCTGGCTGAACTCGTTCAGGAGCGTCGACTCGGCCAAAGGCGGACTGGCCGGTCAGGACTGTGGCGCTGCCCCACCTCGAGGACATGACGACGCTCGTCGAGCCGCCGGACCATGACATCTTCGTCGCGGCGTCCTTCCCCATCATCCAAGTCGACGAGAACGGCGACGAGAAGCTGCGTCGAGGCGAGGACTGGAGGCGGTCCGGGCACAACAGCACGGTCAAGGCCACCGACGTCCCGACGCACCACTTCGTCGGCGACTTCGTCGACCTGGCGCGTCGCTTCGCGCTTCTCGGGGTCACGCCGCTGGTCCTCGGTCATGACCTCCTATCGGCGTATAGACAGTGGGCAGTCAAGCGCCCGGCGCACTCGGGCACCTTCCTGGCCACGGAGCACGGCGTGACGCTGTGGTTCCACCTTGCCATGTGCTTCGGCGCCGCGGCGTCGGTCTGGAACTTCAACCGCGCCGGCGACGCCCTTCAGGTCTTGCTGCGCCACCTGCTCCTCCTGGCGGTGGGGCACTATGTCGACGACTTCAACGCCCTGGACTTCCCAGAGGCCGCCCAGGACGCGCATGACGCCTTCTCCGACGTCTTCTCCCTTCTGGGACTCAAGACGAAGGCGTCCAAGGCGCAGCCCCCACAGCCGGCGCATACCGTCCAGGGCGTCCTGTTCGAGGTCACGTCGCAGGGCGTCCGGCTCTCCCCGACGGAAAGGCGTCGGAAGAAGCTCCTGCTCGCCATCGAGGAGGCGTTGTCGTCGGACCAGCTGGCGCCGCACGTCGCCCACCGCCTGGCTGGCAAGCTGGCCTTCCTCACGCAGGCCATCTTCGGCGCCCTTGGGAACCCAGAGCTTCCATTCTTGCTTAAATAAGGTTGTCTTGCTTAAATTTTTTTGTCTGCCTTAAATAGACGTTTTTCTAAGCTAATTAGACAAGAATTTTTTAAATAAGGAAGAATAAACGCATTATTGACTATTTAGAAGGTTTTACTCCTTAATTAAGAGGTTTTTCTTGCTAAATAAGGATTACATCTTAAATTTAGCAAAGACAAAAACAACCAGAAAATTACCATCTATTTAGTGTTAAGCAGTAATATTTTCACATAAATTTTGTGTGATCGACGATGCATGTGCCACGATGGGCTACAGCTTTGGGCTCTTGATCGGTTTGATCTCGTCGCTCCGCCTAAAATAATGTCGGGGGACCGAAGAAAGAACACGGCCAGTGGCAAAGACATAGCCCCGTTGCTACAGGCAGCTTTTGGTATTGAGGGACCCAAAGCAGGGGAGTTCCCCAGCACAGGGCTTCAGTTTTTGGAAGTCCATGAGTTTCTCATCAAGGAACTTTTGCTGGCCACACCGAGAGTCACTGCTGGATTGGTTCAGGAAGGTTGCAATGCATGCTTTCAAGGCCTGGATCAAGCAGTGGCCGTCTCGTTCAGTCAAGTGGTGGCAAGTGCTTGCAAGTTGGTGTGGGACAAAAAGGGCCAGGTACTGAGTGGTAAGAAGCTCAAGCCGGATGCTTTGAGAAGGTTGGTCATGGTGCTGGCCGGGCCCAGGAGGTCTCTTGAGCAAGGGACGTTTTTGAAGAAGCAAAAGGAGAGTGCCTCAGGCTCTGGCTCCCGCCTGTCCACTGGATCAACAGCCAGCTCCTCTGGAGGTGCTTGTCTTGAGAGCGAGCTCGGTGCCTTGGCAGCCTCCTATGGCTTGCCAGCAGCGCCGGCCAAGGCAAATGCTCTTGTCCCGCCAGTTGGTGTTTCAGATGACGAATCGCCAAATGCACCAGCTGCAATGGAGATTTCCTCCTCGGAGGAGGTGCCCAGCAGCAGTGCCAAGAGCAAGGCGAAAGCTTCTGCCCCTCAGCCTCGAAAGCTTTCAGGCAAGCCGAGCCTCGGGGCCTACGATGCGAACAGGGCTTGCATGGTGAGGACCGAAAAAGGTAGGCTCTACGAAGCCGACATGACAGAAGGCACCGACGGTTTCATGTATGCAGCTTATGGGACGAACAAGCCCGAGAAGACAGAAGTGCCTATTCTCCTCTGGAAGAAATCCATGGAGGGGAAACTTAAGAGGCAGGGTGAACCTGTCCTGAGGAAGCCCGCTGCAGCTAAGAAGGCTGCCAGCAAGGCTGCTGCTGCTAAGCAGCCTTCGAAGAAAAGGCCGGCTGCAGCTCCTGTCAGCTTGCCGCCTCCTATAGAGGAGGAGGACGAGGACAACCATCGTGACGATGCAGATGAGCAGCAGCAAGCGGAAGCACATCCAGGGGGTGAGCTCGTGCAACAGGATCGCGAGCAGCAGGTGCCGGAGCAGGAGGTGCCGGAGCCGGAGCAAGGGTCGGGCAAAGTGCATCGCTATGCTGCCATGTACTACAAGGCTCCGAAGAACGAGATTGCCATCTGCAAGTATTGGCGAGGCCGGAAGGACATCCTGAGACGACAGCTGTGTGCGGCCAAGTCATCTTTCGACAAAGACACGAGCTACAAGAAGGCTGAGCCGATTTGCAAGCAGCTGATGGAGCAGAAGCTGTTGGAGGCAGACTGCAAGGCTGCTCTTCAGAAAGCTTTGTCTGCAGGATGAATTTTGGTATATAGAATCTTGTTCGTGCATGGTGCCAGATCGAGGTGCATCGCCGGTAAATTGTATAGCCTGTGTTCGAGTTTCACTCAAATTGAAAAACTTTGATTTTCACGTGTGCACATCATGCTATCGTGCGAAACAAGTTTGTTGTCACGGGCGAATTGCATTTGAGTTTTTTCTGCAGAACACTACATGCAGCAACCTTGTATGCATGCTGTGCTGCATGACATGAGTGCATTGCTCAAACATGGTTGCATGGATCGAGGCATGTGTATCTAACGACCCAAACATATATATATATATGCTGTATAAATATTTTCCCCTAAACCCTAAACCCTAAACCCTAAACCCTAAACCCTAAACTTAAATTAGCCCTGGCCCTAAACCATATACCCCAAATTTTAATCCTAGCGCCTAAACCGGGCCCGAAGCCCGGCCTAAACCCTTTTGAACAGCAACCCTGCAGGTCGACACCCTATATGCACCCTGCATGCCGACAGTGCATGTGCAGCCATGGAATGGAGGCCGTTGCATGCATCGATCTTACTTGTTTGCTATTAGAGAGTACGATCGAGAGTTTCCAGAAAGTCGACCTTTTGCTGCAGCCCGGGCCTTATAAATTGCGATTCTCTGCATGCATGCACGGCAGGCGAGCGGTCCGTGCATGCTGCAGCCTCCTGGGAAGGAGGGCCTCCTTGCAGGAGGCAGCAGTGCACAAGTCGATCCTGCATGCATGCATAGATCGTCAGGTCTGCAGAGCATGTGCTTGCATGCAGTGCCCGCTATAGATGCGAAGCCTTGCAGCACTTGGCATGCACAGCCAGCTTAAAGATATCGCAGCTCTTTTCGTGCTCGAGATCGAGCGATATCCTAAGTCGACCTTCTGCAGCCCGGCCCAGGTGGTGTCATGGCAAACATCTCCGAATTGGCATGGGGATCCTCCAGACCTTGCATTACAGACCTTCGTGAATGCAACTACTGCCATTACGACACATACATTCGCAAAACAGGCTGCGTCAATACCTGTTGTTCGCATTATTATATGCGGTTGGAGAGGCCCAAAGAAGGCCCCTGGCACAGGGGCAAGCAGGGCGGCGATCGCCCCAAGCGAGACTGGAGCTGGTCCGAGTGGACCAAGAGCACCACAGCCGCGGTCGTCCAGGAGAAGCTCCTGGAGAAAGAGATCACAAAAATCAAGCAAGAGCTCGAGTCCTCCTCCTCTGAGGAGGAGGCGAGCGACTCCGACGAGGCGGCCGGGGTGGCAGGGCCGGTCAAGACCAAGAGGGCATCCGAGTCCCTTCTGGTTGCTTGGCCCAAGAAGCGGCCCCGATCTCGAGCAAGCGAGGCAAGTGTGGTGCCGATCTCGGACAGCGGTACCGGCAAGGAGGCCTGCCATGGGATCGAATGCATAAAGAAAGGGAACCCTAAATCCAAACCCAGTTATATAACTTTAAACCCTATATTATATCGCTTAAGTTTTTTTTATAGGATCGACCCTAAACCCTATACACCAGCCCTAAGTTAGAGCAGTTGATCCTCGAGGTGCCTGCTGCAGAGCAAGTCACCGAGGACCTGGGTGCTGGCCCTGCCCCGGACAAGGCCCCGGAGGGCGACAAGGAGGGCGAGAAGGAGGGCGAGAATGAGAAGGAGGCCCCGGTGGTCGAGGAGGAGGCCCAGAAGGATCTCGAGAAGGAGATCTCGACCGATGCCCAGGGGGACAAGGCCGGTGATCATGTGGTCGACGACGACAAAATCCAGGAGGTGTCGTGCAAGATCACTCGCAAGAGTCGCAAGAAGAACAAAGGCCGAGCGAGGGTCTTGTGGCTGCAACACCAGATTGCAGAGCTGAAGTCGACAGGTCGCTGGGTGGGGTCAGAATGTCCGAATGCAGCCGACAGGGACAGGCGCCTCGAAGCCGAAGCACAGGGGTCGGCATGGTAAATCTGTATGGTTTTTGAGTGCATGTAGATCGATCTATAGATATATAGAATTAATCGAGAGATATACATATATATATGTGTACAAAGACAGAAGTTGATTCCTATATATAGTACGTTTCTGAGCTTTTATGCATAAGCATTTCGACCGACCCCTTGCTGCTCGGCCCGTGTATATATAGATCGATCCCAGCATTTTAGCCACTTCACAGCTCGATCGTGTGGCTCGCCCGGGATCCATGCATGGTGCTCTTCCATGCATATGGCTGCATGCAAAAAGATCGACAGGGTCCGTGCATGCTGGGCTTTCGGTGTCGCCCTGTGCAAGCCTGTGTTCTCCGGCATGCATGCATGCACTGTGCCTTGCAGGTTCTGCCCAGCCGGAGCCAGCACGTGCTGCCTGGAGCTCAGATCGAGAAACACTAGCTGTGTCTGAACGAGATAAGTGCATATGACGTGCAGCACACAACACCTTAATTATAGTGTAGACTGCGATCCTGGCTGCATCGATATCAATATGCCTGTCATGTTTGTAGAAATCGATCCAATGCCAGCAATTTGAGGTCACACATTGTGTCCTCCTCGGAGGAGGACTTGCTGAGAAGAGGATGGTGCCGAAGGACACTGTGCTGATCTATATATATATAGTTCAGGTTTCGGGGCCGTGTCCTCCTTGGTGGAGGACACCGTTAACTTAGACATATGCATGTTTCAGATCTATATATCTATATCTATATATATATATATATATATATATTTTTCGTGTCCTCCTCGGAGGAGGACACCATATATAATTTTAATTAAATATATATATATATATATATGTATATAGATATATATATATATAATATATATTATATATATAATATATAATACTTAACATATATATGTATACATATGGTGTCCTCCTCGGAGGAGGACACCATACATATATATATATATATACTTATATATATATATATACATTTATATTTATATATTTATTTATATGTATATATGTATTTATGTATATATAAACATATATACATATATATACATATATATACATATATATACATATATATACATATATATTTTATAATATATATACATTATATATATATATATAATATTATAAACTATTAAGGTTAACCCGGAACCCTAAACCCTAAACCCTAAACCCTAAACCCTAAACCCTAAACCCTAAACCCTAAACCCTAAACCCTAAACCTCAAAACCCCAAACCCCAAACCCCAAACCCTAAACCCTAAACCGTTAACCCTAAACCCTAAACCCTAAACCCTAAGAGGATGGTGCCGAAGGACACTGTGCTGATCTATATATAGTTCAGGTTTCGGGGCCGTGTCCTCCTTGGTGGAGGACACCGTTAACTTAGATATATGCATGTTTCAGATCTATATATATATATTTTTTTCGTGTCCTCCTCGGAGGAGGACACCATATATATATAAATAAAAAAAAATATATATATATATATATATAGATATATGTATATATATATATATGTATATAGATATATATATAATATATATATGATATAATATATATATATATAATACTTAATCTTGTCCTCCTCGGAGGAGGACACCATATACATATATATATATATATACTTATATATATATATACATAGGCTTTAGGGTTTAGGGTTTAAGGTTTAGGGTTTAGGGCTCAGGGTTTAGGGCTCAGGGTTAGGGTTTAGGGTTCCCAAAAACCTAAACCCTAAAGCCGAAACCCTTCAAGCCCAAACCCTAAACAGGTCCCTGAACCCTATAGGTATATAACTCATGAATTTTGATGTGTTGGGAGCCCTGGCCCGGGGAAGTGGGGTTAAAAAAGGTTAAAAACCTTAACCTTTTTTAACCGCTCCTGTCGAGTATGTTGCCTTTTAAAACAAGGTTAAAAAAGGTTAAGGTTTTTAACCTTTTTTAACCCTGGGGGCCCTGGTGCACCACTCAACTGCCCCGCTAGCATTTCGCTTCAAACCAAAAACGTCCCATTTTGGTTCTTTCGCCCGTGTAGCTGGCTGGCAGCCATGGCGAAAGCAACGGCAGCCAAGACGAAGCCGGCAGCCAAGAAGCCAGTCAAGCAGCAGCTGAAGAGCCCGAAAAAGGCAAGGAACACTTCGGCATCAGTGAACAAGGGCCAGATCAGTGGTTTCCTGACTGGCATCAAGTACAAGGCCAACAACCCCAAGGATCCCCAGACCAGCAGTGCCCAGCAGCTCTTGGAGGCCCAGTGGTGTTGCACGATCGATGTATATACATGTGTGTATGTATACTTAATATACACATATATACTATCTGCATATATATTATTATTATATATATATAATAACATATATAATATTTATAATACATATATATATATATAGATACTTTTGTATATATATATATACACACACTTAAATTGTGTATATATATATATATATATTATGAATGAAAAGATATGGATGTACATATATATATATATACATGATTATATAGAAATAATACAAATATATATGTCGTATATATATATATATATCTATATCTATATATATATATATAGAATTATATGCATGCATGTATTTATATATATAATATAAATCGATATATATATATATATCGATATATATCGATCGATACTATATATAGTATGATCTATTATAAACTTAAGTATATATGCATGTATATATATAGATCGATATACTAGTACGTATACATCTATATATATATATATATAATATATTATTAATATACATAATGATTAATATACTGATCATGGACTTAATTAATTTTTATAAAATACGAATATATATATATATATATCTATATATCCATATATAGATCGAAATAATATATATATATATATATATATATATTATTTATTTATTTAGATTATAATTGATCGACTTTTAATAACCCATGCATAGTAATAACAGTCCTGGTGAGGCCTATCACAGCCAGGATTCTGACGGCAAGCACAAGCTCATTGCGCGCTACATGGACGAAGGTGGCATCAAGAACCTCGCCTGGGTCGCCTCGTACCTCGAGAGCAGCGAGCAGCAGGAGCAGGAGCTCTGCGAAAACAAGAAAGGTTTCATGACCAGAGATGAGATCCTCGGGCTCAATGGCTTCGTGGTGAATGGAAATCTACCAGAAAAGCGAGCAGAGCCCGTGCTGCAGGCCCTTCTCAAGAAGTGCTGGGAAGCCAACGGCTTGGCTGATGCTGCAGCGAAGGATCCTTGTGAATTGATCCAGAAAGATGCTGATGTCCCTGAGCTTACAATGTACTACTATGTGAAGACACAGCAACGGGACACAAATGCCACAGTGAAAAGCAGCAAGCTTGAACAGCATGCTTCCCTGAAGCAGTCTGGCCTTAAGGCAGTGCTGGACAAGGCCACGGGATCCTGCGATGTGAAGATCGAATTCCCCGAGAGGATTGATGGCAAGAACCAGGGCAGGGTCCTGAAGTCGGGCAAGGAGAAGATGGAAAAGGAAATTGGCCAGCTGAAGGATGCACTGTGCCTGGGCAAGACCCTCAACAAGCCCGAGATGGAGGGCCTCTTGAAGGAGGGGGAGAAGCATCAGATGCAGGCTCAGGAGTTCGTGGAGCAGAAGGCCCGGAAGCAGCTGTCTGTGCTGGCCAGCCTGGAGAAGAACCCCGATGCCACCGCTGAGCAGTGGCTAGAGCACACGGAGGATATGAAGGCCACCTGTGCCAAGGCTCAGGTTCACTGCGATGGGCTGAAGGCCTTTCGTGCTCGCCTGAATGTTTGCCTGTAGGTATAGATCTCCAAGCACCGTTTGTTTTGGGCCGGCTTCAGTTTTGACTCATGCAGCACGGGGCCCATGTAGATCGACCATAAGCGACAGCAAATTAAAAGGATCGAGGCCCTTGCAGCTGCATGTTACTGCATGCATGACATATCGCCGACTGCATGTTATATTGCCTGCCTGCCACTGCGATCCAGTACATGCATTATATAGATTGGACTGCTACTTTAAAATCCTTTTGCAGTCGAGATAGCTAGCAATGGATGTTGTCCAAATCAGCCAGAGCTGCTTCCAAGAAGCGACGGGGAGAGAGGAACCTCAGGTCCAACATCTCAGATCTCTTCCTCAGTGGCTCGATATCAGCTGCCAGGGCTAGGGGCATCTTCCAGGATGCTGCAGATGCCCAGGCCAGGCATGTTAACGACCTGGTTGTCTCGGAGGACAAAAACATCCATCGCAACCTTCTCAGGAAGCTGGTACGAGGTTCTGCCTGGCCGAAACCCTATATTGCAGACATAACAATGTACGACCCCCACACTCACAATGTCTGCAAAAAACCCATTGCAGTTTATCTCCCTCATGAGATCCACTGGTGCTTGCTGAGATGGAACGGAAGCCCCGAGGCCCGACAGCGATTGCTGGATTGGCAGAGTTTGAGGCGGGATGTTCGTGAGAGGGTTGCCTCCTCAGTGGAGGCCTTAACTCTCGATCCAGAGGCTTTGGTGGCCTGGGGGCTTTGGTGTGACGGTGTTCCTGTCAGATATGACCGGAGTGAGAGTTTGGAGTGCTTCAGCCTCAACCCTTTGATCAACGAGACATTTGTGCAAACCTTCAGACTGCCCCTGACATGCATCTACAAGAGTTTTTGCTGCAAGGATGGCAGGACTGTGGACGATTTGATGGCTATTTTTGCTCACAGTTTTCATTGCATGCGAGAAGGAATCTTTCCAGAGGTGGATTTCCAGGGGCAACCTTTTAAGTCATCGTGGCGCCGGAAGATGGCTGGGAGGCCTTTGCTGGCACAGGGGATCCTTGCAGAGGTCCGTGGGGACTGGGCGATGTACAAGCAGGTGTTTAAGCTCCCAAGCTGGAATGCTGCAGGAAGATGTTGTTTCAAATGCAAATGTTCGCTGCAGGAAATCCGGTCATGCTCGTCTTCAGCACCCTGGAGAGATCACCCTTGGTCCTTTTTGGAACTCCAAGAGCACATGCTGGACAAGTCTGGTGCAGTGAGTCCCATCATGGCTGCCCCAGGCATAAGTTTGGCCACCTTCGAGGTGGACTGGCTCCACTCGTGCGACTTGGGGGTCGCAGCCGATTTTCTGGGCAATTGCTGTTTTCTCGTTTCGAAACACATGCCAGGCTCCTCGGAGGAGCAGCGAGTGGCCAGCCTCTGGCGAGATATCAAGCAGTGGTACACCGAGAACCAGACGCCCAACCAGTTTAACACCATAACCAAGCTCATGATCCGAAAGGAAGCCAGGAAGAGCCCCAAACTTAGAGGCAAAGCTGCCGAGATCAGATTCCTGATTCCCTGGTCTGTGGACATCACTGAGCGACTTTTTTCTGGTTATCCACCCTCCTCGGAGGAGGGCACCTGCCGGCTAGCAGCCAAGCAGATCCAGATCTGCTACTCCCAGTTATCGACCGAAAACTTCGACCCCAAGGTTTTGGCAGACAGTTGCAAGAGTTTTTTGCTATTGTACACTGCACTGGAAGACCTTTGTTTACTTGAGCATCGCTGGAGATACAAACCCAAATTTCATTTGTGGCAACACATGTGTGAAAGCACCCAGTCTGCTCCGAGTCTGTATTGGACGTATGATGATGAGGACTGGGGCGGGAGCCTGGGGAGGATGTCTGTGCGAAGAGGAGGCAAGCATGTGGCTTTGGGCTTGTCGAAGACAGTGCTCACAAAGTTTGCTGCGCAGAACAAGGTACCTTCGCTGGCAGACCTGGCCTTGCGAGAGAAAACAACAGCACCCTTTTGCGAGCATTTTGCATGTTGCTTGTGCAAGGGTGCATGAGCAAAATAAATAACTATATATATATATATATACGATCTTTGTGCATGGTCGAGCATTGTGGCTTGCGTTTTTTTTTGCTGAGTCCGGCCCCCTCTCCCTCGATCACCTGACTCAGCACCATCATGGACGAGTCCCCTTCAAAGAAGCGACGAGTTGGCTCCCGTGATGAAGTTCGATCCACCGCCGGGGGTGGCGAGACTGAACTTAATGCAGAGCAAGGTGCCCAGCTAAGCCACTTTCGGTGGGCCTGGTGCTGGGTGAATTCTCATGGAACCTGGTGGTGGCAGTGGTTCAAAAGGAGGAGTGACTAGTCGCATGAGCCCGCGAGCCGTGCCCTAGGATCGACAGTTAATTCGGTCATCTTTCTGCCCTGGGCAGACGACTTCTCGGATAATTGCTTGCATGCAGCCAGAGGACAAAAAAAACCACTGCACCTGCAAGATTCAGCATGATCCATGGGGCTGCAGCAGCATTTGCGATCGAGCTTATAATTTCTTCTCATGTGTTCCTCAGAGTGCCTGACAGAGTTTTGGCTCGAATCATAGAATATTTATTTTTGTTTTAGATCACCTCATACCATGGATCGGAGCCCCGAAAAGAAGAAGGAGATGGAAAAGTTGATCTTGGAGCTCTCGAAGCTGTGGGGCGAAAGATTCGAGGTTACACGTGCCCGAGTCGAGTTGCTCGAGGGAGGAAGCATGTGCCTTCATTGTGTTTGCTTCCACATCAAGGGCTTTCTGAGCGAGAACGATTTCAGAGCCTACGATTTGGTTTGGCCAGAAAGGTTCTGGTGCAAATGCATTGGGTAAGGCTGGCAGAAGTCCAGCTCTATAGAGATCGATACATGGCCCCTTCGAAGGAAAAGGGCCCAGCATCAGGTAAGATTCGCAGGGTGCATGTGCTGTGTGCAAGTTGTGTTGTGTGCAAATTTATAAGTGTGCTAGGTGTGTTGTGTGTGCATGAAGTGCACGTGTTGTGTGTTAAGTGTGTTAAGTGTGATATGTGTGTTAAGTGCATGCGCGTGTTGTGTGTTTCAGTGCATGCATGTGTTGTGTGCTAGGTGCTGTGTGTTGTGTGTTGTGTGTTGTGTGTTAACTGTGTGTTGTGTGTTGTGTGTTGTGTCTTGTGCACGTGTTGTGTGTTGTGTGTGTTGTGTGTGTTGTGTGTGTTGTGTGTGTTGTGTGTGTGTTGTGTGTGTTGTGTGTTGTGTGTTGTGTGTTGTGTGTTGTGTGTTGTGTGTTGTGTGTTGTGTGTTGTGTGTTGTGTGTTGTGTGTTGTGTGTTGTGTGTTGTGCATGTGTTGTGTGTTGTGTGTTGTGAGTTGTGTGTTGTGGTGTTGTGTGTTGTGGTGTGTGTGTGTGTGTGTGTGTGTGTATATGCGCACATATGGGGGTGGGGCCCCAAATTTAATCCATAATTTCGGACATGGTTTTTGGAAATTCTTTTTTAAAATTCTTTTCTAATTAAGCAAGAATTTTCCTTAAAATTCATCGTTAAATTAATTAAGCAAGAATGGAAGCTCTGGGAAGGCTGCCCTGAAGCCCATTTACGCCAGGTCGGCGGACGCTGCGGCGGCCTCCGACGACAGACTGTCACTGGGCCTTCGAGCCGCGCTGATGGCGCTCAGGGGCATCCTCCGGCGAGTGCAGCCGAGGTTCGTCCCCTTCCAGCCGTCCACCTCCCGACGAGCCGTCCTCTACGCCGACGCGTTCTTCCAGGTGCACAAAGCGGGATTCGTGCCACGGTCTGCCATGGTCTGCCCAGGCGCGCCCGGCGGACCGGTGGACCAATGGTTGGGGCTTCGTGCTGATCATCGACGACGACGTCTTCTACAGCAGGGGCGTCGTCCCGGCGTGGTTCCTCCGGCGCTTCGCGTCGAGGAAGGCGTTCATATACGTCCTGGAGATCGTCGCCCAACTCCTGCCGCTGCTGGCGTTCGGCGACCGTCTTCCGAGCTTTTGGACGGCGTACATAGATAACGCCGCTGGACAGTGGGCGCTCCTCAAAGGGTATGGAAAGGACGACGCCGTCAACGGCGTCCTCTCCGCCTTCTGGGCCTCTGCGGCGCGCCATTGCTGGTTCCCCGAGTTCGTCCGCGTTCCGTCGAAGGCCAATATCTCCGACGCGGTGTCCAGAGACGATCTCCGCCAGGCCACGGCGGAGGGCTGGTCCTGGCTGGACCTTCCCGTCGACGACATCCTGAACATTCTCCTGCGCGCCGCCGACGACCTCGAGTTCGCCACCGACGAAGCGGCCTCGGCGCTCGCATCGTTGTCCTCTGAGTGGAGTTTCGGTGCCGGCGCGTAGCGGGAAAGGGGGTGCGCCGGGCGGGTGCAGAATGCGCCCCCCCCGCGCCGTCCCCCGGTTTTCGGCGGACTGGACTGCCTTCGCGCACGTCGCGCTTTGTCGCAAAACGACGCATGTCCGTCCTGCCTTCATTTTGGGTTTAGTTAGGAGCGGCGCTTGTCGTGTAGCGCCATTTATGTGCGTTAGGACAAGCAGGCGACGAACGACGCAGCCGTTCGTCGCAAGCCGCCCATTTTCAGCTCCCACCCTCTTCCACCCTGGCGCCAGCCGCCCCCGGGTACGCCGGGCGGGTGCAGAATGCGCCCCCCCCGCGCCGTGCCCCGGTTTTCGGCGGACTGGACTGCCTTCGCGCACGTCGCGCTTTGTCGCAAAACGACGCATGTCCGTCCTGCCTTCATTTTGGGTTTAGTTAGGAGCGGCGCTTGTCTTGACAGATTCTTTGTTCGTGCTTTTGCAGGTGGCATGCGGGAGAATGCGGGAGACACATGCGCATATTCACATAGTATGGCAAGTGGTATGATTATTTTGCTTCTTCCACATAATTGAATTCATGATGTTTATAGAAGGCCCCGCTGAGGCTTCACTCCTAGAACCAAAGCTCTCAGTTGGGGAAAGCAGGGCTTGTGAGTCATGGAGTGTGTGTGCCACAAGCGCACAGAGGAACCACAACTGTTTGTTGCGCCCTTCGCAGCTCTTGCGCTGCAAATTCTACGACAAGCTGCCATGCTGATGGAGCGAGCATCTGTGTGGCATTTTCTGTAAATGAACTCGGAATCTCTCTTTGAGTTCCATGATTTTCTGTGACCGACAAGGTTTTGATTGCGTGGTATTGACTTAGTCCCTTAGTCGTTTCAGCATTCCGTGCGCTGTTTTGCCCTTTGTTTCGAGAAGAAACAGTGACTGTTTCTTGACCTTCGGCAAAACCGACATCATGGGCTAATTTGGACCGAGAAGCTCACGATGCAAAGAGCTAGAAACAGCTAAGCTCGGAATGGTTATGGTCTTAGAGTCTTAGATATGGCCAGAGCAGCCCCTAGGGCAGATGAAAAAGTGCGGCACAACCATAAGCGTGGGGTCCACAATTTTCACGACATGTCGCAACAGAATTGTCGAAAATTTGCAGTTCCTTTGGAACCAGGTGGCTTCTGGCAAGGGAACATGGGCCTACTGGCTCGCCTGGGGCCAAGCTCAAGTCACAATTAGACGAAGAAGGCTGCACAGTCATTTGATTTCAGGTTGCTGGTTTCGCGATTTGCCGATGTACCCAGGTTGAGAAGACAGGCAGCACCGTCAGCAGTGGAACGCTTATTTCAAGGTCTACTCTTCTCAAGACAGGAAGCGCAGGATGAGTGTGCCGATGTTTGAAGATTTTTGAAGGAGCAGATGCATGGTTCCTGACCTGCCTGACCTTGTCATGCCGTCAAACTCTTCAGGTCCAAGTTCCCCTTCGTCCAAGGAGCCGTGCTGGGTGATAAAACTGGCCACCTGCCAACCTGCCAACCCCGTCCACGCCGATTGAGTCAGGAGCCTGCGGCAGTGGACTCGCAGACCAGATCTTAGAATGATCTTCGCAACAATGCGTGTTTGAGTCTGTGTGTCCTTCCTGCGTGTATTTGCACTGACTGTCACACGCATGTCTGTCCTTCCTTCAACAGTTTTGTGTGCATGATTTTGCAATTCTCGAACCTGCTTGCAAGGTCCTTGCGGATCGGGGACATTGTGACTGTCAAGGCGTTGCACTCTCAACTGCTGCAGGCCTTGCTGCAGAGCAATCATTGACATGACTTCCTGCATAAGGTAGTGAGCACTGCTCCAAAGCCCAAAGGGCCTTAAGATGCCTTTCGCTCCTTAGCACTGCGGAATGCTGCAAACATCTTTTCATCGCGTCGAGGTGGATCCTACATCGGGTGTCTGCCATACGGGAGATCCTTCGGCCGAAATGAGCAGGCGCCTTCAGTCTTTGGAGAGTACTGAGAGCTTTGGCTGTGACCTTTCAGGGTTGGGTCTGCAGATTCTGCAAAGCGTGGCTTGGCTCACCGACGATTCCGGCTTCATCTTTATCTCCCCTGGTCTTTTGTTTTCACTGGTCTTCTGCCTTGGCGTGGCCAATTCAATAGTCTGCTCCTTCCTTCCTGCCTTCCTTCCTGCCTTCCTTCCTGCCTTCGCGCCACGAAACTCGTGCGACTTTCATTCTTCTCATGGGCGCGCCCCTGTGCAAAAGTTGCGCATTGGCAAAAAGTGCTTCCAATACCAGGCTTCATGAAGCGATTTTCATGTGGGCTCCGGGTCAGCAGGAAGTCACTGCTCATGTCCTTTTTCGTGACAGCATTCCACGTCATCAGCCAGCTTTTCAGGGGCTTTCTGTTGCACCATGGCTTCGGCAGAACTCTTCCATCTTCAGACAAGGAGTTGTTCTGTATTCCACTTAGTTCGTTAGTCGTGGACGGCCCTCCGCTTGAGTTTCTCGCTGGGATTCTAAAATTCCATGTGTTACTTTCGATTATGGAGTTGCTGGCAAAGCCAGATATGTACGAATCATGTCAAATTGGAGGCCTCCGGTCAGCAGTCTCCCTATAATCCACTCTGCAGACTTCTTCGCTTTGTGTGCGAGTTTGCACCTGTGTCTGCTTGTTCGGTATTGTCTGGTTGCTCCACGACCTCACGCGAAGTGCAAGTGGTGTCCACGCATCGTCCAATGTTCCGGAACAGCATCCCTGTCCAGTGGCGGTTCCTTGTTCTGCAGATGCAATGTCTCCTTGAAAAGCCGTGTGCCACCCAAGAGCTGAGTATGCTGAGTGGATGCACCATGATGCACCTGGTTCTGCCAATATGCCAGTGCGATTCCAGAGGGCGGCGCTGCAAGCAGTGCAGCAGGCACGTTGTCGGACAAGATCTTGCAAGCTTGTGCCCTGTTAGGCAAGCACTGGCGAGCAGCACCCTTGAAGTTACTTCTCGTCTTTTTGCCTGTTGGCGCAGGCAGTGCAGAACCTGGCATCCAAGAGCCACTCGATTAAACAGTTGGTACGTCTGTTGGATATTGCACCTTGGCATTCTTCTCCCTGCTTCCAGTCCGAGTCAGGTTTGTTGTGGAGCGCGTGGGAATGGGCCTGGTGCTCTCTGCCATGTTGCTGACATGTTGCCCTTCGAAGGCTGCCGATGGATGGGGCACATGCTTGTGAGCAGGTACATTTACACGACACTACCATCCGCTCGTGGCTGAGCGATCGGCCGGACTTGCTGCCCCCCTGTCTGTTGATTTGCAGCCGTTCTTTGCCTGCACCTTCCGAATCTGATGCCGTTGTTGACTGCGTGTTGACCTAAGGCAGAGGAGCAAACATCTGCTTCAAACCCTATAGCAGGCCGGGATGACCGCCAGTGATGTGCAGGCATGAGGTACTGAGTAGCAGAGAAGCATGAACCGGGAGCATGATAACTTGGTGGCCAGGTCTGACAACGAGACCCACAAACATATGGGCTACTTGAAGGTGGGCGCATCCACTTGATGGCCAGCTTGCGTGTCTGTGGCATCACCAGCAGTGATTGTCATCGTCTATCACCGATATCTTTACCATGTAGGTGAATGATGACGGGTCGATAACAGCAAACGGAAAGGTCGGCGGCTGAGTCTGTGGAGAGCAAGAAATGACTTCGGTTTTTTCCGCATACATTCCACGATTCAAGTAATTTCGCTGCTGCTTCAATCCTGCTCCTGCATGATGCTGCATGCTGTTGACTGAAGCTATCAGAGCCTGCAATTTTGTGGCGATGGCTTCGCTACTACGTTCGTGAGTGCTGATGCGTGCTTGCATACGTCTGTGGCATGCCTGCCAGGCGACTCAGAGCGAGATCGGATTCGTCATCGAGGCTCGAACGCGGTAGACTGTGGACTCTGCTGCAGACTTGATTGGGCAGTCTTAGACATGTGGACTCACCTAGACCTGACGCGCGAGCTGCGTGTCGGTGGCATTGCTCTCAGGCTGGCGCCGTGAACAACATGCTGGCTCCTCTAGGAGCTGCGATGTCACAGGCCGCACCCGTGTTTCGGTTGACTGCTTTAGACTGTTTAAGGACTTGGGCCTTTATGAGTAGCTTCAGCCACAGTCAGTGTCCGCAATGGAAATCGGGTCAACTTCATGCACACAGACGAGGTGGCTGAATGTTCTTCTGTGTTAGTTGCCTCGCATGTTGTGCAGTTGATCTTTGATGTTCTTGCCCCCATCTGCCCCATCTTTTTCCGAAGGGCGACGTCGACTTGTTGGTTGCCCCGCTGTGGAACAAGCTGCAGCCTCCGACACGGATGCGTGCACTTGAGACTTGAGACTTGTGAATAACCGCGCGCCGGCTAGTGAGGCTAGTGGGTCCATGACTACGCGGATACAATTGCGTACACGCAAAACCAAGTATATGACATTATATAACCGTGTCTGTATCATCTGCCCTGCGATTCTGAGGTCCGATGTCAAGCACTATGATGCCTTGTCGTCAAGTTGGACGCATGATGAGGCACTTGTGACACTACTGTTCTTGCAGGAGGCGTGTTATTCAGGAACTTTATCTACTATAGTTCCTTAAGATTAATTCTGAGCTCGTGCAGCCCATCGGATAGTTGATGCTTCGCAATTTGGCGTTAGCAAGCAACAGTCGCGGAGGATGAGCGGAATGGACGCCAGGACAACAACAAGCATGAAGGAAGGAACGGCACCAAGAGAAGAAGGGAGCAAGCCGTAGAAGTGGCGTGGGTCGGTGTCACTCAGCTGGTGATCACGGTGATGAATCAATGTGGCTGGACGGGTCTTCTCGGACTGCGATGTACGCTCTGGGCTCTGGTGCTTTGAATCATTGTAAGACTTTTGGAGACTTTGGGACTCCCGCCCGGCTCCAAGCACTGGGCGGGCACACAAGCGTTCCCACCGAAGGCACAGGCTGAGAAAGGGATGTACTGCCCAGCGTGCTTTGCCTCAGGCCAGTTGAAAACTCGCTCCCTCTAGCCACGTGCCGACTTAAGGTTGTGATCTCTCACCCCCCCCCCACCTAGAAGAGAAACAGCAGCAAAGAAGGAATGCTTTGTGAGATCCACGTGCAAACTCATATGAGACCTGTTTGCAATGGACCATTTCGTCCACAAAGTTCTCAATATCAACCACCCAAAACTACGCCCCCCACTCAATAGATTGAATGGCAACAGTCCATCACATTGACATTCAAACGTACGCCAGCCAATAGCCAGCGCACCCCTGGCCAAGCCCAACATCAAGCCAAAGCAGCCTACCCTTCGCCTGACTTACCAAGGACTCAGCCAATCGCACTAAGTTTAAATGCTCTGTGCATATCTGCACAAGAGGCAGCTTTGATGCCCTTTCCGCAGCGCGCTGCGTTCACGCGATGCGAGCAAATGCTCTGCGCAGGTTTCTTAATTATTAAGATTGGTTCGTGTACAGAGGCCGCCGTCCACTAGAACCCTTTGTGTGACCAACGGGCAGATATCTGCTGCTTGCATCTTGCAAGAAACACGAGATGTCCACTGCTTGAATTGGAACGTCATAAAGATAGACTCTATGCTGCACCTTACATGCGAGCGAGAGAGAGAGAGAGAGAGAGAGAGAGAGAGAGTGAGAGCACAGCCGAGTCAAGTAGCAACCAGCGGGGACGGGGAAGATGCCGGCACGAGCGCTAGAGGGACATTGTGGGGGCCTCAGCTAGGTTTCAAGGGCCAGCTTTAGAGGGGGGGGGCCAAGAAGCGCACCGGTGGTCTTCCCCCGAACTGTCCAAACTGGAGGTGCCCTGAATACCGGGGCGGGCGCGTACGCCCGGGGGCTTGCCCCCATGCCCCAAGAAAGAAAGAAAGAAAGAAATAGAGAGAGAAGCCCTTGTGTGCCCACACAGTATGACCCTGGATCAACAAAACCCCACCTCGCTCCAGTTTCACACCGACGGATTCGGTGGAGCGTGCCCCTTGGGGCGGCCCCGTCAGGGCCCATACGCGCTGCAAGCAAGCAAGAGAGAGAGAGAGCGAGAGAGAGGGAGGGAGATTCCTTTCGCTTCTTTCCCAAGGTTCAGATGAAAGGAATAACTTCCTAAGGTTCAGATGAAACGAATAACCACCCAAAAGCCACCCTCACATCCGAGACATCGAGACATGATGGTGGCCTGTCAAAAGCGAAAAGAAAAAAAAGGTACGAGGAACCGTGGAACCCCTACTGATAGAGAGGAAGCTCTCGATTTCATGCGCATGCAGGCAGTGGGAAATTAGTGTTGCGTTTTCATGCCATGAAACAAGAACCAAACCAGCCATGTGCGAGAAACAAATCGGGCACCTTTTGCGGACGGTGGTTGCGACTAGCTAAGCCCTGAGGAGCTGTCCAAATTCAAGGGGGCCGTCGTGGTGGCCTCTGCTCAAGGCACTTACACGGTGCCGAAGGCGCCAACCTGACTTACTTGAGTGACTGTGAGTGAGGGCGAGCGCAGTAATCAGCACATCCCTAAACGCCATTGAACGTCAGAGGGGAGTTGCGCTCACCAGACTCGTGGAGCAACAGTTCAGCAAGTAGTTTGCCATGAATGACAGAGATATTTTGGTCTCTCCCTCTCTCTCCCTCTCTCTCCCTCTCTCTCCCTCTCTCTCCCTCTCTCTCCCTCTCTCCCTCTCTCTCCCCCTCTCTCCCCCTCTCTCTCTCTCTCCCCCTCTCTCTCCCTCTCTCTCGCTCTCTCTCCCTCTCTCTCCCTCTCTCTCCCTCTCTCTCCCTCTCTCTCCCTCTCTCCCTCTCTCTCTCCCTCTCCCTCCCTCTCCCTCCCTCTCTCGCTCGCTCTCTCTCTCTCTTTCTTTGTCCTTCTTTCTACGTGCTAGGGCGTACGACCTCGCTTTGTCTCTCTGTCTCTTTATCTCTTTGTTTGCCTGCTTGCCTGCCTGCCTATCTGTCTTTCTGTCTGTCTGTCCGTCCGTCTGTCGGTCTCTCTCTCTCTCTCTCGCTCTCTCTTCTCCTTCTGTCCGTATCACGCTCTCTCTCGCTAGCTCGCTTTCTCTTTTACCACGTCTTGTGCCATCTCGTGCCTGTCCCGCTAGCGGGACATTTGCTGCAGAGTGCACAGTCTCCTTGCTTGGCGTTTTGGTTGCAAATGATCCACACTGCCGGTTGAACCTGTCTCTGTATCGGCTCTCCACTGCGGGGAGATGCTTTGCCGACTTCCGAGCTTTTTAGGTTGTGTGCCGCCTCAGTGCGCATCGCTTTCTTCGCACTAGTATTTGTGCCTAATACTGGTGCTTGGAGCGCTAGAGGGTGTTCTGGCAGCCGGCAACATGTTGAACGACATGACCTGCCTCACATGCAGGCTGCTGGCGAAGGCAACCAAGAGCAGGGGGCTCGGGTCTTCGAGCCGTGCCACAGTTGCATGCGTGGCAGACTTGATCACAGGGTTGAAAAGAGACCACTGATGCAGTCGCCACGGAATCCGGAACGGCACTGGTTGACCAGATCACTCAATTACCACCAGGTGGGTGGCAGTTGTCAATGAAGGAGTAGACCTGCGCAAAGCCGAGCTCCCAGGTTTTCCGGTGCAGGGAACTATCTTGAAAACTGTGATTCTACAGGTTCCTTTTAAGAGTGAGACTGCTGAGTGTTGCTTGAAGTGCTGCTCAGGCCGCTGCCCAGGCCAAGAAGCAAGGTGCCACCGGCCTCATCATTCGCTGTGAGCAGGACAGGGCAAGTGGGGGGCTCTTGCTGGGGGGCTGGGTCTGAGCGCTTTTCGTCAATCTTTTTGCCATCTCGCGTTTTCGGGGAGGGGGTCTGTGAGATGTTGTGACAAATAAAACCGATGGCCCCGACAGTTCCTTTAAAGCCTATTTAGTCCGTTTGCTCTTCGGCCACTTTTGTGCAATTACGGTTCTCCTTCGTTCCATCCATGAATTTTGCGCAAGCTTGCGCAAGCGTGCATGTCTCGGCCTTTACTCGGAGTATGGTCCATCTTCATCTGGTTGTGACGCCAGAGCAGTGCCAAGCGGTCTGCAGCTACTCTGCCAATACTGTGCTGGTCATTGCTGGTCACCCTGAATTGTATCAGAGCATATCAGTTAACTCTCATGCTCTTGTCAGGCGCTGTCACTGGAGAAGCTGGCCCACAGCCTGGAACTCAATTGGCACATTGTATTGCGCATGCCGAATGACACACGACTAATCCTGAACACACTTTGAAAATATGCTGGCGTTGGCCTGAACAGGATGCAGTGCGCTGAGACACAGAAAACATGTACGGACTACCCGCGAAATAACAAGCAGGGGTTTGGTTTTCCGACATGCATGGAACAACAAATAAGACTAGCAGGCATTCCCAATTCCTGAGGGGCCGCTGGAAGTGCAGGATCCTTCCCGAGACGCAAAACTGGCAGGAACCGGCGCATCTCTGGGAGTGAAACCATCATCTCGACGGCCCAATTTCACATGCAAGCCCCCGGCAAAGCTCAAAGAGCACAGAGAGCACATGCTGCCCTCTCAGACTCTAAGACAACCCGAGAACTGCACAACCACTGGACCCCACGTTCGAAGACTAGATGCCGGCAATTGCATCGCCACCGAAAAAAACTGTTGGACCATTGTGTGACCATTTCGCGGTTTTTGGGGAGAATTGAGTTCGGAATTTTCTGATGTGCTGCTATTTGCTCGAGCCCTTGCTTGTCTCAGCCAAGGTGCTGATGATGAAGAGCCACCCGAGCTGCCCGCAGTCTTCGTCACGAAAAAAGTAGGAGAGGCCAGGACACAGAAAAAGCCTGGTAGCTGAAGAGCTGAAGAGACGGCAGTGCAGCTTGAGTGCAGCTTGAGTGCCATTTTGGGAGGCGTTGAATGAGCGGGGCATCGTGCTCAAAGGATGTGAGTTCAAAAAGAAGTACATGACGGAGGCGTACGAAACTCTCCGTGCTGCATGCTCTGTTTTGGCAACAATACCCAGAGACGCAAGAACAATGTGTCACAAGATTGCTCTAGCAGATCCAGACCTAGCAGGTCATGCGGAGTTTGGGACGTTTGGGCGGAGGCGGGGGCGAGAACAATTCGCCAAAGGTGCTACCCAAGCTCGCAGCCATCGCATCATTAGCAGCAACGGAAGGAGGTTGTTCAACCCTGTTGAGCTGCCTGCCTTGTTGGACAGAGTCTCTGTGTCTTTGTCGCTCTCGTTCCGTAAGTCCTAGGCAAGCCTAAGCAATGTGTTCATTCTTGGAGTACAGTTTCCCCTTGCAGACGCAAGGGCGTTCGCGCCCACAGGCAGTCAATCAATCAATCAATCATTTCCCCTCAGAACATCCCTTTTTTTTGCTCTCTCTTTCTCTCTCTTCCTCTGTGCGTGCGTGTGAACGAAATAGTAGCAGCCAGAATGTGCTGCGAGGCCTTCAGCAGACCGACAAATACAAGAATGCTTTCCAGGTGGCAAGTGTGCATTGCTGCATCCGATGCTCAAGCTACTAGACTGACTTTTCATGCGACTTTTCCATGCACCGAGTGGCAGCTGTTAGGCTATTGGCACCGCTATTCTGGAGAATGAGAAAGAAAAGGCGAAGGTCCAGGGTGTGTCCAGGGTGTGTCCAGGGTGGGCATTGACCATTGTTTACCGCTCTGGAACAACAGCGGGCGCTGGCCGGCACGAAACGTTTGCGCAGTATAATGTCACGAAGGTATCTGTAGCGTGTCTGCAGCTTTCGGCAGCTTCGTACCAGCTGTGCAGCGATTATTGTGGGATGGTGTGTGCAGGCCCCGAAGCCCGTCGCACAGAAAGTCGCCATCAAGCAGGATGTGTCCTGCGGCCACAATTGCAGGAACAAGATCAGCAGGCTCTTCATTCTTGTAGCTGCCACCATTGCCACCTTACACTGTACGTTGTTGAGCTGCCCTTGAATCTGCTACAACAAAAGTTGAGCCCAGAACCAGCTGTTATGGTTTTTGCCGTGCTGTTTCGCCAGGTCACAGGGGAAATTCAAGTGGAAAGTGAATACCAACACGTTTGGGCCCAATTGCTTTTGTGCACATCCACTTCACATACATGCGCTTAATCGAAAAGCTTGCGCGCGCCGCCTCAGCAGCCGGGCCGGCCCACGGACAGGAAAGGAGGAAAGAGGGCTGGTTTCTGGCAAAGGCATCAAAAAAAGGGGAGGGGGTCCCAGGAAGGGTCCCAGGGGTCCCGCAGGTTCGGGGGTTTTCATGGGATTTCTAGGAGGTGCCCAAAAAGTCCCAAAATAGCCAAATAGGAGCCGTCGGCAGACGGGACCACAACATCGGTTTGCAGCTCCTCCAAGCGATGGGGGGGGTCCCACAGGGCAGGGGGGGGGGCGGGGGTTCCGTCACAAGATCTGGTATGGGGTTAGGGGGAATGAGACCGGATCCTGTGTCTGCTTGTTCCAAACGCTTCTCGGCAGGAAGCCGAGGCGAACTTAAATCTCAGCAATAGAGCCCTAAAAAACGCTAAACCCTAGTCCGTTCGCGCATCGCGCCGCGCCGTGCGCTCGTTCCTGCGCGCCGTCCCAAGCACAGCATACCACACTCATATCGTACACACGTAAGCGCACGTGCGCACGCACATCCACTCATGGACATAGGCGTTCTTTCAGTTGCAGTTGCAATTCGCTGTGTATCCTGTGATGGGGTTATCTGGTCCTTTACCTATTTGTATTGTAACTCGGAGTTACTCGTACTGTCAATACTGCTACGACCGAAATGCCACTTTTTCGGGTTTGAAGCCTACAGCAACACCAGCTGTGCCGAGTGCAATTTTGCAGCACCGGAAACACCCTGAACAAATGCTGACTATTTCAAGTATGTCCGGCCATGAGGACAACCTGTTGATCCAAGCATTGAGCGGCCGTGCTATACCTATTCTTGCAGCGCACGACAATAAGCCACAGCATGCCCCTACCAACTGCATTGTCTGGCATGTACCCTACTTTGGAGGCGTTTTTTCTAGCGGTATACAGCCACTAAGCCGAGGCAGTACATCTGGTCGGGCTCTGGCGGAGGCTGCTCTTTCTCCTGTTAAGGTTTTTGCTTGCAGCAGCTGCAGATTCCCGGAAAGTCCGCGAAAAGATCGTATAGATTGGCCAGGTGCCACCACAATGCAGGTGAACTATGGACTCAAGGTGGCAAGCTAAGCACGCCTTCAGATGCAAGAAAGCAAGAAAGCAAGAAAGCAAGAAAGCAAGAAAGCAAGCTGCAGGAGTGCTCGAATGCCGTTACTTGCACCTTCGGGGCTCTTCACAGAATCGGGTTGCAGCATGGGGCAGCTTTGTTCGAGCATATCCCTCAAGCAGGAGTTCAGACCAATCTGCAGCATTGTCGCAGTGACCATGGCATTAGAATCATTAGAACCAGGCCCCACCCTCCGCGATGAAGAAGAAGGTGGTGGAAGGGGACGATGGAAATGAGACTGCGCACGTGCTGCTGGCTTCTTGAAGAGGGCTATTCCAACAAGAGCTAGTCATAAACGCCACTTGGCCATTCTCAGTCTGTGGTGTCAGGTTGATGCTTCTGCAGACATTGTGCCGGAGGCGGAACTGTTCATATTGGCTCAGGTGTTCAAATTTAACAGCCTGTCTACCAGATTGATATGTCACGAAGCTCGCTGAGATTCAATGCCTAGCCAAACCACTGACGCAACTACAAGTACCAGCAAGGCTGACATCACTTATCGCCGCTCCATCGTTGGAAGCGCGATGGTGCCGGCCGAGGATGGATGTGATTTCCTCAAACTGTCGTGCGTGCATAATTTGATCGCCACACTAGAGGAGCAACCCGCTAGGTTTCCTTCGGAACTGAAGGCTTTGTCTTTTGAAGTGCGATGGCCGCATCAGATTTGTGATTTGAGCAACGCTTGAGCTTTCGCAAACGACGACGCAGGTGAAATGGTTCAAGGCAGTTCTGTTAGGTTAGGGGTTTAGGGGGCCCCGTACAGGGACCCGGACGTCGGTCGAGAGGTTGAGTCATGCACGGAGCTGTAGCTGGAGCCAGCAATTCTTGCTGCTTGGGGGGTCCCTTGTGCTCTGGGTGTCCATGCCCAGGGTGGAAGAAGTACTCAACCTGCCAACTCCATTGCGATCTTCTTTGTCAGGACTTCAAGGCCCACACCTTGGCTCAGGAGCTATCGGAGGCACAGCTGGCGTTTCTTTTCAGGGCAGCTGAGATCAGAATGAGTTGCTGGGCTTGAGCAAATCTCACATCATCGGTCCAGTTGTTACCCATCATCGGTTCATGCATGTACAATCAATCTCGTAGTGAAGCACGTTTGGAATGAGACATGGTTGAAAAATCAAAGCAAAGCAGTAGTTGCTAAGAAAGCTGCACGAGTTTGTTAGCCACTATCTCCTAGTGTGCTGCGCGTGTGTGAGCGTGTGAGCGTGTGAGCGTGTGAGCGTGTGAGCGTGTGTGAGCGTGTGAGCGTGTGAGCGTGTGAGCGTGTGAGTGTCTGTGTCTGTCTGTCTGTCTGTCTGTGCGTGTGTGTCTGTGCGTGTGTGTGTGTGTGTGTGTGTGTGTGTGTGTGTGTGTGTGTGTGTGTGTGTGTGTGTGTGTGTGTGTGTGTGTGTGTGTGTGTGTGTGTGTGTGTGTGTGTCTGTGCGTGTGTGTGTGTGTGTGTGTGTGTGTGTGTGTGTGTGTGTGTGTGTGTGTGTGTGTGTGTGTGTGTGTGTGTGTGTGTGTGTGTGTGTGTGTGTGTAACACCTTTCTTTGCACAGGGACGCTTGTCCCTGTCGTGCCTGTCGTCTGCACGCTCCCCACCACGAGGTCCTCCTGGAAGATGAGGGCAGTGCGCAAGCGCAGGCAAGAGTCGCGTATGGGGCGTATTAGTCACGATCCATTAGTGATGGTTACCATCATCCGTGGTTGGCTCTGTGGCCTGCAGTGGGTTGGAGTGGCGACAGCAGGCATGTGTTGGCCCCACATGAGTTCGGAGGCGCAAGAGCAGCTGTCGGACGAGAGTGACTTTATGATTGAGTATAACTTTACCGAGGCTCATCACAGGGGTTAATCACATTTAATCACATTGTGCGTAAGTCCATGTTCGATGTCTCGGCTTGGACTGCAAATGTGCAGGTTGAAGTTGCCGTCTCCAGGGACAATGAACAGGACATGATTGTGTAGTGGAGGAAGCTGCAGAGCGAGCCTTGCGGGCAAGGACCTCGATTCAGATGAGGAAGTCATGGACGAGGGCACTGTCGTCAGCAAAGTCGGTGTGGGACCTTGACGCAGATTTCTTTGTCTTTTGTAAGCCTTAACCAAGCTGCAACACCACTGGGGTCAACTTCGCAAACTTGAAGCTTCAGCATCCATTGCCTGTATTAGGTGTTCCCCGCCGATATTTCTGGATCGTGGCCATGTTCCTTCTGTTTACGACGACGGTGACGCGCTCAGGAGGAGCCAAGGCTTCCCAACAGAGCTGTAGTCATCTGAAATCTATGGATGAGGCTGAGAGTTGTAGCATTGGTCCTTTCCATCAAAGGTGGAACTGATCTGTGCTCTCAGGCCCTTGTCTGGCTCTTGCACTCGACTCTCAACTCGGAAATCCAGCATCTTGGCTGCGTCATTGTAAATGTGCTTTGCGCCGAAGCATGGCTGATGTTCGGCTGCAGGCTTCCAGAGGAGTTCAGAAGACATGCTGACATGGAGGAGGACCAAGTGGTGCACAAGTTGGAGCATAGTCCTTCATGCTGACTCAGAATGCACGCAGGACATTGCCCTGATGGCCACACTGGCATGTAGTGTTGCGGGCGTGTGACCCTTTTTACGCTTTCACTGGAGTCCAGAGAGTCCAAGGGAGTCAGTCATGGAGGTCTAAGCATGTCAGCAAGGACCACGCAAACCTCAATTTGCATAGTTTGCATGTTTTGCCGTGGGTTTTTTAAGATGTTTTAAGCATGACAAGAGAAGGAGAGCGCACATGCGCACATTCACTGCTCAAGTTGGCCGTCGCCAGGGTCCAATCGATGAGCGGCCAGCCCAGTTCTTGTCCCAACGATTTGGTGATCGGCTGAGCTGGAGATCATGATAATGATTGATAATGCCAATCAGGAGTTGCATATAAAGTGCGATCTCCTGGCGTTCTAGCCCTTGGGCCCTTGGGGCTCAAGGACAACAAGGACCGGCAGGTGGGTTCCAGGCAGCCATAGCCAAGCACAAAGCGCCATACAACAGTTGCCTGGCTCCACGTGCTGGGCCTGTTTTCACCCATATCCGTAGTAAAGCCTGTGGTCAGCCTTTAGGCCAGACCACGGGCGTTAGTGCCCCGGATGTGCCAGATTTTGTCTTTCAGACTTGCGATATCTTGCATCCCAGAGCCTGAAGGACGGCGCACTCCATGTACCATAAGTACAATATTTGTTCATAGCATATGCTGTAGCCGAGGCGGTTGAAGCCTTGACCGATCGCTTATCCATTGCAAAAAGCTGAGGTGGCTTGTGTTCCAACAGCCATCTGCTGTCCTGACGTGGCGTTTCTTGACTAAGCCGAGAATCTCTACAAGTATGCATGAGTGCGTAACTCTACTTAACCACTCGCGCGCGCCAAATGCCCCATCTATGTGAGACCCAGCACGTTTGTCAGGGCGAACCTGGATAGGCCACGGAGATCACCTTTCTTCAAAGTATGCCGCAGAGCATTCTGGAGACACTCTATAGAGCACCTGGACCTGCATACTATACCCCCCGTGGATCGAGCTGGCTTTTAGCGGAACATGGTGGTGCTCACGTGAGCCAACTCCTGGAGCCAGCCACGTACGTGCACGTTGATCGGTGCGCTGGGTTCTACCTCAGGAGGCCCTGCAATCGCCCACCTAGCCGAGTGGTGCCGGATGTCGCATTCCAAGCTGTGACGGCCGCCTCCGCAGCCAGGCCACTGTGAGCTTGCTCCGCTGGCCGGTGTTCTTGCAATGCTTTGCATCGTCGTGGTTTTGGGCTGCTCCGGCACTGACTTCACTGGGCCGCGGTTGACAGCCACCGCAGCATGCATCACCTGCACAACAATGGTTCCGGTTCTTTCCAAGATGTTCTTACACGATTCTTTTCGCCCAAGCAAACATGTTTTTTCTGGGCAGTTCTACAGGTCCTCGACAATATTTTGCGCGAGTCAACCGGGATCCCGCACTCCTTGCAGCCAGGGCCTTGCGTGAAGCAATGGCTCTGTGACCACCTTGAAATGGAATGTCGACACTTCTCTCGATGCACGGGTCGCTTTTCAACCCCTTTGACACTTCTGGCGTCAGCGACTGATATGGTGCTTGCTGTCCCGATGCTGTCAATTTCAGCATGCTGCATATTGTGTCTGCAGCTCTGTCTCGCCCTGTGAATGGTTGTTGCATCTTGCACGCCCACGTGGCTTGTGCGTGTTTGACCACATTGAACTACTGAGCAGGTCCCAGCCGGGCCTTCGTGCCCCTGGAACCAGGATGGTATTGTCATCAAAGTATGCGAGGATGCGTTCACCAAAGGTTCCGCTGGACATCAAGCCGCAAAATCCTGCAACGCTGCGCGCGCGTGCGCCTTGTTGCCAAACGTAGTGGATGCGACTCAACCACAGGCGCACGAAGGGCAGGAGTGCCGTCATAGGATGTCATGGGCAGCAAAGGCATCAAGCAGTGAAGTGGGAATCTGGAATCTGCTGCACGCCGGCCCGGGTCCGGGCTGCATGGATCAAACTTCGGGCCGGACTCGGCTCCGAGTGCATGCTGGTGTGGGTGGCGTCTAAAGGCTGCAATCTGTTGCGCTAGACGTGGTGAGGGAAGAAACAGGACCCTGCCCCAACCCCCCAACATGGGCACCGGCGCCATGGAAGGGGGGGGGGTTGTCCTCATCAGAAAAGAAAACTTCTGGAACGGCAAACCTTCAACTCCCTATACCCGATCTGCGCAAATCGCTGGTTTTGCTGTGCATGCCCGTGGGCGCAGTGTGCTCTCCGCTCTCCCTGCTGCTAGCACGCGCGAAAATGATGAATACGCAGCCGGTCATGATGCCGGGGCTCGGTTCTTGCCTCACTGGTGCTGCAGAGGGTTTGCCCGAACAAGTTGCCGCTCGTGTGCAGTTGGCCCTACTTCGCAGTTCTGCACGTCATGCGCCGGCGGCAGGCGGTGCCTCTGCATCCCCTGCTTGTCGACGACGACCCGCAGCTCGACCTGGTCCCAGGCCATCGACGCCTGAGCCAACTTCCTTTTCAGGTATTGCCACCCCACCTCACGGAATGGTTAACCGCGCATAACTACGTCCCCGCCGCGGCCCAAGCGGCCCTTCTTCAAACATACGGGGGCGTGGCGGTCGCCTCTGTGCCCCTGGCCAAAGACCTGCGGCGCCCTTGCAATGGCGCTGGTGCGTCCGCTCCCCCAGATGCTCCGGACAGAGGCGCCGCGCCAGACTCGCACGAGACGGTTCATAATTTGGATCGAGATTTGTCTGGGCAATTCGTGCCGGCATTTAGCCGACAGCTACAGTCTGCAGTGGTCATTGATTTGGATTCAAGTAGAGTGTTTTCGTCGAGCAACCTGGCAGCGATCCGATTGACCAATGGCAGATGATTCCGATTTGGAGTTGTCCCCGACGGCCCGTACTGCTGGGCCCAATCCGTTTCAGCCAGGATCGCCTGCAGGAGTGCAGCTCACTGTTGGAGATTTGAACATGTTGATCACTCAGCTTACAGCTGCCACGCAGGCAGCATCAGCTGCAGCACAGGCTGCCATTGTAGCCTCTTCATCTTCATCAGCTCGTGCACCTTCCGCAGTGACTGGTAAAGACTTGTCCAAAGTGCTGAAGCCCCCTGAGAAGTTTGATCCCAACACTAAAGACTCGAGGACGAGTTGCGCTACCCAGTCCCGACGATGCAGGACGCACCTCCCTTCATGCGAGCCGCTGTCCGGGGAGCGCCTGTGCAATCGCTTCAACGCCTGCGAGAGGCTCAAGCAGCCCAGGGTGTGGAAGCTGCTCCCGCATGCTGCATGCCCGCACCGAGCAACGAGGCTCGCATGGACGTGCCGAGTTGCTGGGACGCAGCGTTCCAGCAAGGCGACTGGCTCCAACTATGTCCAAATGCTGCTACAAGCTGCAGGCTGTGCCAGCCCCGCGCTGACCGACCCCGCGCGCCGCCCTCATGCTCTCCATGTGCGCATCCCCCCGCGTGAACCATGTGCTCCGCACGCTGCCCCCGTCCGAATCGCGAGGGTACGCGCAGGCACATGACACAGCCATCTGGGGAGACCCTGCGGTCCTGCATGGGCGGTTTCTGTGATGAAGACTCGCGCCATGCTTGGCCCATTGCCACCTTGCCTGCAGTGCAGGGCGGATTAGGTCTGCAGTCCGCGGAACGCACGGCTCCTCCGTGATAGGTGCCCGTGCGCCCGCCTTCGCGCATACATGCCTCGCAGCTCTCGAAGGCCAAGGCGGCGTGGCCGCATGCCTCCGCGAAGCTGCGGCGGCGCGGGACCTTTTGCGACACAAGGGCTGGCGAGACTGTCCTGCTTGGAGCTGTCTCTTACAAGGGTCGCGCCCGACCCCGGCTGACGACGCTGGCCCTGGGGACTGGCCGCATGGCTGGCCGATGCACGCATCGCGCACTCGCAACACCCACTTTCGCATGCCACTACCAGACATGTCGCCCAGTTCCCAGGGGCTGCTGCGATCCCGACGGAGCCAGCCACCACGATGCCACCAGCCGCGATGCAGCTTGCATTGCGACGCCGGCTGCGGCAGCGAGGGAGCCGATGGAGCAGCGCTGCGGGTGGCCGAACGCCGAAAGCGCACTACCTACCCAGAGCTTTCACACGGGCCGCAAAAGCTCGTCGTGCTGGGTAGGCGGTCGCTGCTGGAATGAGCAGGCACGCTACTTCGCAGGGACCTGGTGAGGCTGAGAGCTCACCGGCCCCCCACGCCATCCGCGCAGCAGCGACCGCAAGCTGGGCGAGGCGCTGGCGGGGCATTTTGTCCGTGGCGGTGCAGCAGGCAGTCGCCAGCACGGCCTTGGGAGGCCCCTGGCTGCACCCGTTACAGTCCGAATCCAGCGACGGCCCGCCGCTCGACACCTTGCTCCACCTCGCTGCTCCCGCCGGCCAGAGCCGCCTGCCGCTGCGGCCCTGACGCAGGTCTGCCGGGCACTGTGGGCCGTAGTCGTGTCACCGACTGGACTACGTTACATCGGACAGCATGGCAGACGGAAGGTGCGCAAAAAAAAAGAACGTCAGCGCCCCAACCAGAGGCGCCCACACCTGTAGCCTGTAACGTCACATGGGGTGCCTGAACCGTTTGTTTTGCGCCCCCAGTGCCTGCAGCGCCCCAACACGCGCCAATCGGAGGCCCGCGAGCCGCCGTTCAGGGGTGCCTGGTATGACCGAGGGCCTCCCGAACGTGGCGTGCAGTCGCCTACCAATTCGTGGCTGTACGTGCCGCTCCTCCTTGGTGCACGGGGAACACTCACTGATCGGGCGCTCGCCTTGTGGTGCGCAGAGGCACGTGCTGCGCTACAGTGGGAGGAGGCTCGCCGAATGCTGGCGGTTTCGGCCCCAGTTCCAGTTGCCGCACTCACGGAGGCAGTGATGGCAGCGGCTAGCCATCGCAATGAGGACTTGGCCCAGGCTGCTCTCGAAGAGGCGGCGTGCTCCCTTCCAGCACTTTGGTGCACCTAGGATGGGTGGTGCGCCACATTGGTTCATTCGCCCGCAAGCCCAGAAGATAACAATCAGCAAAATTCACATAGTTTTTGCCTACCAGGCTGTAGTTCTGTAAGCTTCGCTTGGAACACGAAACGTGAGGGCACGCTAGCAATGAACATGTGAATATGTGACCGTTTTATATGCTGTATTTGATGCACGAAACGCATCGAAACGCCAAGGTGCACCTTCAGACCCACAGCCATGTCGCACTCGTAGGTTCGAGCATATGTTGCCACGACAGGTCCGAGGTATCGTTCGCGGTATCGTTCGGGTATCGTTCCGACAACAATACACCCCCCCCCATCCGAAGCCCATTTCTTGAGGTTACGTTTCAAATGGCAGTTCCGTTCTATCGCTGTGCCCTGCGGGAAGGCTCCGCGAAACAGGCATTTTGTCAGCGTCTCAAGCTAGCCTCACGTGGCCATCACCGAGAGGTAGCTTGAAAAAGAAGTTCACGGGTGGATTCATGGCAGCGGTACTGTCTTATCGCTGTGCCCTGGGAAGACTCCGCAAAACATGCGTTTTTTCATAATTACATCCTAATTGGTCTCAGCATGCTATCCCCGAGAGGCAGAGAATTTTTCCTATCATTATCGCATGTTTTGGGCCTTGTGTGCCCTCGGGGTTTCGGTTCGAGGAAAAAAGGTTTCGGTTTTGGGCAATCTTCTTGAGATGTTGGGCTAACTTCTGTGCCCAGGGGTTGGGCTATCTACAAGGTGATTGGGCCAAGAAACCACGCGCGCTCGTACGGCGGCTCGGCGTTGGCGAGCGCGCTTGACCGCTTCTCGGACGAGTTCCGCCGCGCACTCGCACCGCCAGCACCGCGTTCCGCCGTGGAGGCGCCACACGTCTCCGAAAACCGCGATGAGCACGTGGACGGAGACGAACAAACATCTGGTCCGGAACTGGCCCGGGCCATGCCGGCGCCGGTGGCCCAACATCCGGAAAGTGAGGCCGAGACTGTTGGAGCGGTTGCGAATGAGGCGCCGCCGTAGGCAGCCGCGCCGCCCTGGCCTGGCTCAGCAGTCGGCCTCGCACAGGAGTTCCGCGAACGGTTGCCGACCATGCGCACGGTACCCCGATGTTTAACCACGGGGGTGCGCAGGTGCCTGACCCCTTGCCTCAATGATCAGCCAATCGCTTATCGGCGGAAGGATGGCGCTGCCCGAGAAGCGGCGTGGAAGCTGTTCTTGCCCCGCGTTTGCTCCTGGCACACTGCCCATGATTCCAGGTCAGTTGGCCGAGGTATGCCGAGGTGCTCTCCTGCGTCGTGTCTGGGAACAAAAACATAAAAACTGGGCCAACACAACCCTCCCCGCACCGATTCAGCGGTCCTTGAAGAAGCTTGTGACAGGGTGCGCGACGGGCAGCGGTCCTGGGCACGCCCAGCCCTCACAGCGGCTGCGCTGGACCTGGTAATGATGAAACTAACCAAGCCTTGTCGGATCCTACGCGGCGGCCACCCCATCGGCGCCGGAAGATACCTGCAGAGGTGTTGAACCATGAGCTGGCCGAGGCAGGCCGTCACTCTGTCGGTCCAACAGGTGGCGGAGCCGCTCCGTCCGCACCAGGCCTTTCGGGAGCAACAGTTGACCACTACAAGTTGTTCCTCGACGACCCCGCGGCGCTCGAGCTCCTGGCTTTCGCCATCAACTGCTTTGCACAGGCTGACGTGCCCCCTCTCCCTGTCAAGGGGAATGTTGCAGGAAACGTTTTCCGCAGGTTGGTTTCTCGGGTGCTCGCACGTGCCTTCGCCACGTTTTCGACGAGGCCACCCGGCCGTATCAGTACGCCCTGAGTACCCGGGCAAGAACAGCCTCCCAGCATCTCCCAACCATGCTCCGCGCAGCCACGGAGCTCGACCCTGAAACGACGCTGGTCTCACTCGATGGCCGCAGCGCATATGACAGCGTCAGCCGCGCAGCCATTATGGGCAAACTCAAAGGGGTGGCGCCGCTAATCTTGCCCTTCGTCCGGTCTTTGTATGCGCGTGTCTCCACGTACCTGTGGTGGGATGACAGCAGCCGCTGCCATGAGATCGCGCAAGCCGAAGGGGTAGAGCAGGGCGACTCCCTCGCATCCGCGCTGTTCGCGCTTGGCCAGCACGATGCGCTGGCGGCGGCAGCACGAGAGCTGGAAGCGGTGGAATTCTTGGCAGCCTTCCTGGACGACATTCTTTTACGTCGTCACCTCGCGCGGCCAATTGGATGCTGGTCACTGCCACCATCGAGCGCGAGGCCGGGGTTGCTGCAAACCTTGGCAAAACGCGCGTGTATCATGGCCATGCGCCGCGAGGCATACACGAGCTCGGTGAGGACGTGTGGCGCAGCGACAAGCCCCTCGCACAACGCGGGTTCGTTGCTTTGGGCGCGCCCATCGGCCACCCGGAATTGATTCGGTCATGCGCCAGCAGCCGCCTCGAAGAGGAGCGCCGCCTTCCGCCTGCTGCTCCAATTGCCTCAGCTCCCGGACCTGCTGTGTGCATGGCTGCTAATCTTTTTTTGCGCAACTCCCCGCGCTCAGCACCTGCTGCGCACTGCTCCTCCGGCCGCGATAGCCGATTACGCACGTGCGCATGACGATGCGATCTAGCAGACGATGCAAGACATGCTGGGCGGCCAAGCGGCTGATGCTGAGGCTGCGCAGTGTCAAGCCCGGGACATTGCCTTCCTGCCAGCCTCCTTCGGGGGTGTGGGCCTTTTGCAATCTTTTGCATGCGGAGCGCATCTCGCCTGCAGCCTATTGGGCGGCATGGGCGGACGCACTGCCTGGGCTGCAACAGCGGTGTCCCGAAGCGCGAGCGTTGTTCAAGAGCTCCAGCCCGGCTGCAGGCGTCCACCGACGAGCAAGGATGGGAATGTCTGCGCACAGCGCCGCCGCAAGAGGTTGGTGGTGAGCCCGGCGTCTGGGATGCTGCTCTCGCAGTCCACACTTCTTGCCGAGGGCGGGTCTTGCTGCCAGCCATTCGGCCCAACGACCGAGCACTGCTGCGTTCCCAGGCAGGTCCACATGCAGGGGCAGGGCTCGCCGCCATCCCTGCCGACCCCGCAACATCCCGCAACGACGCTTGCGCCAGACCTCATGCACCTCGCGCTCCGGCGCCGACTGCATTTGCCCCTGTCTTTTATTCCCGGACTTTTATACCTGCTGATCCGTTTGGTCGGCTAAGCGGCTCCGAAACTAAACTGCCCGGGCACGCTACGCCCGCAGCGGCAGCCGACCCGGGCTTCAGCGCAGCGGCAGGCGACTCGGTCCGTCCGGGTCGCCAAGAGCCAGGACGGCAGCCAGGGTCGGCAGGCTGTCTTGCGCCGGCCCCGCTACCGCCCTTGCGTTAAGTGCAGCGCCTCATCGCACTGCGCGCGCGCGCCGGGCCCCAGCCACACTGTGTAGTGCAGCCACCCAGGGATGAGCACGTCGCTGGTGGGGGGAATTAGCCGTTGCCGTCCAGCGAGCGGCCCGAAGTGCCGTCCTTGGCATCTGGACGATGCCCCCGCTGCCCACAGCTGACAGCGACATGCCTCTAGCTAAGGTCCTTCAGTTTGTTGCGGACACGGCGCCCAGCAGGCGCCGCCGCGGTGGTGAGGCCCGTATGGCCCGTCCCCCCCGACCCCCGACCCCCGCGAGGACATGCTGCGGAACAAGGCGTGCGAAAAAAAAAATCCTGAGCGTGTTCGTTGCTAACACGCGGGCAAGACTGCCCTGCAGCGCCTCTAACGTGCTCAGCACGACCGCCTGCGCGGCCGCATTCCACAGTTGTCCAGCCTTACTCTCCGCGTTGCGGGATGTGACCGCCTGCGTGGGCCTTTCTCCTTGATGCCTCGTTCCGCCAGCGCCGCCGCGCGCTTTCGAGCCAGGCGATGCCCTATGGGGATGGCAGCGCCAAGCTGCCGGAGTGCGACGAGCTCGAGTGCGACGAGCTCGCGTGCGACCTTGCGTCCCGTGGGCTCCGTACCATCACGGTCCCCAGTACACGCGATGCCGTTTCCCTTCCGAATGCGCAATTCCACATCCAGCTGCTGCGGCGCCCGCGCTTGTCCCTGCCGCTCGCCCCCCCGCGCGTGCAGCTGCCGTGGCAGGCTCATGCAGGCTCGACTTTTTCGGGGACCACTGCGCCGCGTGCGTTACTAGCGGCGTCAGTGCTCGCTGCGCGCGCAGGGCCGCTCGAGCACGCTGTGCCGCGAGGCCGTTTCTCCTGTCGCCCGCAATGTCCGCGATCGCCGACATGAA